ATATCAGACAAATCCAATGGAGGGCCAGTCTAGAAAATAACTGGCCTATTAACTTTTCACAGATCTCTTCATGAGAAAACATCTGTTTGATAATGTGACAGCCAATGAGAAGTAGCCCCATACCACCTGAAAAGATGGATACTTAAAATCATTTAATTACTTTGAATACTATAAGTACAATATATCAGGCATGTCAACGGTATTAAAAAAGGTAAAGTGTGTTTTGCTTTTTCAGGTTGCTTGGAAAATGACCTATTAGGAAGCCATGAAAATGGACATTTTTCTCTTTTGCCTATATTCTGAACAAGTTTGTTTGAGAATAAGAGAATTTAGGCGAAGAAAATCGGTCAGCAACTTAAAGACGATTGTTAATTCTTTCTTTGCCTATTTCTCTTAATGTACACATATTTTAATTTATTGTGCATTTCCTTACTTGGGATAGGAACCAATGTTCTCTTCCTCTGGTGATCTAGGGAGATGAATAAGAAGGGAAGGTGTAGACAGGAGACGGGGGTGTTGATAGTTTTGTTAATGAGACATGGTCATATTCAACAGTGGCCTGAAAAATGCTATGACCTTGGCATGGCCATTAGGAAAAACCTCTGAGCTCATGTCTTCTCAAACTTCATGTTTGTTTCATCCAGGGTGATCAGGCAGTAGGATTTCTGTTTCATTCTTACTCGACTCGCCCAGGATAGAGTTAGACAAAAAAATCTATATTATTTTTATCGATACACATGCTGGCCTTCCTACTGATGACTCTGGCTGGCCTGGGAAGCCTCTTTCTGAAGGAGCCTCTTCCAAGCATCAAGCAAGTTGAAGAAGACTCTATGCTCCTCCCCAAGTCATTTCCTTGCCTCACACCCAGAGGTAAACCACTATGCTGAATTTTGTGTTCATGCGGTGGCTAGTCTCCAAAGATGGTCCCCCAATCAATGACGCCTCCTGGTATTCACACCCTTACATAACATTCTACTCTTGAATCTAGGCCAAATCCGTGACTCATTTTGACTAATACAATCCAGCAGAATTAATGCTTTGTGACTTCCAAAGCCAATTTAAGATTTGCAACTTCCACCTAGGCCTCTTGGAATGCTTTCTCTTGGTACTTTCCCTCTCAGAAACCAGCCACCCCTCTGTGAGAAGCCCAAGCCACACGGACTACAGCCCAACTGAACTCTGTCAGCAGTCGTTATCAACTGCTAGCCCTCTCCGACATCCAGCCTAGTTGATCCTTCTAAGCCCCAAAATGGACTCATGACATATATAGAGAGAGGTAGCTGGCCAGTACAGGGATTCAAACCTTTGACCTTTAACAACACTGTGCTTTAACCAACTCAGCTAACTGGCCAGCCCTCATGACATTAATAAGTAGTTGTTTTAAGCCACTAAATTTGGCAGTGATTTCTTATACAGCAATGGATAATCAGAATACCTTCTCATTCAATCACTGGTTTTTGTTTAATATCTTTACATGTATAGATATATCATTTAACATAAATTTTTCAAACAATGGTTTCATACCATATGTTGTTTCCTATTACTTTTTAAAACTCAGTGTTTTTAAATTTATCCACGTTTTGCATATAGCATTGGTTCATTCATTTTAACTGCTGTTCTACTGTGTTAATATTCCAAAATTTATCCATCCTAATTTTTTTTTCCCACAGCTGGCCAGTATGGGGATCTGAGCCTTTAACCTTGGTGTTAATAACACTGTGCTCTAACTGAGCTAACTGGCCAGGGTCCTGCCTCTAACCTCCTACTGATGGACATTCAGACTACTTACAGTAACTTGCTATTACGATCAGTGCTAATAAGAATGCTATACGTCTCTTGATGCTTATATGCGAACATTTATCTTATATATACACACACACATACATATACGAGTGGAACCTGTTGACATGCATGCGTTCAACTTTACAAGACGTAAAGGTACAAGATGTCAGTGATTTGTATTAATTTATACTCCCACTACATCCCAAAGCTCCGTATTGTCACACACCTTAATTTTTGTTCATCATCACGTGTAAAATCATACCTGCGACCCTAATTTGCATTGTTGAATTACTAATGAAGTTGAGCATCTTTTTGTTTTTGGAAATTTGTATTTCCTCTTCTGTGAAGTAAGTAGTCATTTATTCAGACTTCTTCCTTTCAGTTTTTTTAATTGATTTTTTTCGAATTAAGTCTTCCAGATCATAATCGTTTGTTGGGTATATTGTGGAAAAACCTCTCTTGACTTTTCACTTCCTTTTTGGTATATTTTGATAAGGAGAAGTTCTTTAATGTGAGCAAATACATAAAAATTTTTATATAACTCATTTGTATCCTGTTTAAGAAGTCCTTCCCTATCTTGAGATCATAGGTTTTTCCTTACATATTCTTCCAAAAATTATAGTTTTGCCTTTCATATACTTGTTATGGTGAGGGTAGGAATACTTTTTTTTTCTGAACCATTTCTATGTCTCAGAGCCATCATTGCATAGTTCATTCTTTCACCATTTTCCTTCTGTCATGTGTTTCTAACATTTTGCTATCTTTTCAGTAAATAAACCTACATTTACGACAGTGTTATTGTTTAGGAACTTTTGGATTACATTGGTAGTGCTTTGTTTAGGATTCTTACATTTCTGTTCACAGATAATATTGGCCTACAATTTCTTTCTTGTACTTTCTGATTTTGGTACTGGTTATATTAGCATCATTGTATTTACATATTATCTTCTCTGTAAGATTTTACATAAGACTTGATCTGTTTGTTAAAGTGTGATAGGTCTTGCCTTTAAAATAATTGGGCCCAATGTTTTCTTTGTGTGATGTTAATGATTTAACTTTTTTGATTAAGACTATTAATACTTGGAGAAGTTATATTTTCCTAAGGATTTTCCCACCTTAAGTAATTAGACATGGAATAAGTTAAAAGAATAGTTGTGGGGAAAGGGACATTGCAATTGGAGCATTAAATGACCCAGAAAAGTTTGTTCCTCACAAGTCTGAAGCAATGAGACTGATTAGTCCCAGGAAGTGAAACCTGAATTCAATTTTTACTTTGCTTGGTCTCCACCCCAATAGCAACTCTTCTGGGTTGTTTTTTGTTTTTAGCTCCTGGCAAAGAGAAACTAGTACTTTGCTTTATGAAATGGGAATTTCAGCCCTTAAGTCCTTACCTACCCCTGATAAACTTGGCAAAACTAGGTGATGTTAGCTACCATAAAACTCAATGCTCTTAGTTTGACTGGTGAGATATTATTATTCACATTACAGAAATACTGAAATAGGCCAAATAACTCGTTGAAAGATATAAATCCATTTTCTGGAGGAAAAAGCATCTGAACCCAGAGCCTGAATTTTTGCCCAGCAGTCTTCAAAGTACGGGGAGGGAGTGAGAATCATCTGATGAAGGCAAAAGTAGAATGTAAGGGTGAAAATCACCTGGTTCACTTTACCTGCAGGGAGAACCACCTGAGTTCCATATCGTTCCTGTGTTTTCCTGGTGGCTGGAAACCAGAGCATGCAAGAAGCAGGCACAGGTGGGAGCCAAGAGTCATGCTCCATTTGACAACACTGAAGATAATTTTTAACAACATTTATCAATAAATTAAATTGCAAAAGCAGTAGTCTGAATAACCTTTATTTCTCAATTTAATACAACAAAGGTAATCACTTTATGAGGAAAAACAAGTGAAATACCATGAATATTGTGACTTAAAGTGACTTTAGATTTGTTTCAGAGGTTAGAACACGTAGTCAGGAAGAAAATCAAAGGACAGTATACCTGCATAGTTTACTGAGTGATTCCGTTTTCAGGTGAATGGCTTAGGAAGCACTGAAATACCCTAAAGTTTTAACAACCAAGTACAGAATTTGCTTTAAGACCATTAAACAAATGAATTTTAGTGACAGTGAGGTAGCTACAGGTCACCTGCATACATTTTTCTAAAACATTCTTTCTAATAAAACTGGCTTGCATAACACTTAAATGTAGTTTTGAAAAATACATTCCTAGATTTATCTGAAGTCTGGGTTTTTTATGGCTGCACTTTTACATAAATCAACAGGCTTCCCAGTGATGTTTGTGAAAGCTGGTGGCTGTTACCATACATCACTAGAAAGAAAATAAAAGAATACTAACCCTTCATTCTAACAAAACCTCAATTTTACAGTCAGTAATAATTTAATGG